GGTGGCCTGCTTTCTGCTGATGGCGTCGTATCGTCCTCGATGAGTATCCACACGCTGGATGAATGAGTGGTGAATCCCCGAGCCTCGGTACTTTGCCTGCGGGATGCCTTCCCAACACGCCCACTTCACTTGGCAGCGTCCAGGCGGGGAGGCAAACGGCAGGTGCTTTTTGACATATAACGCGTCTATCGTGTGCGACTTCCGTGCTCCTACCCGGACAACCCACCTTCACCACCTACTGCCCTAGAGGTCAACACCTACCCTACGCGCCCCAACAATGGCCAACCAAGTGGCTGTCATGCGTGACGACGATGCGTTCGAGAAGAGGCCCGTCTCTCTTAGAGAGAACGTCGACGGCTCCCAGGATGGCTCCGGATACGAGTGCGAGTTCAGCGAGCGCGAGCAGAAGAAGATCATCCATCGCATCGACCGACGCCTCGTCGTAACCGTGGGAGTGCTCTACTGCATCAGTCTGATGGACCGCACCAACCTCAGTGCCGCTGCCATTGCTGGGTTCGTGAACGACACGTGAATTTGCGCGTCATCAAGACTAACGGCAAGTAGTATGACCGTTGACCTCAAACTCGGTCTCCTAGAGGGCTCGATTTCACGCTACTCCATCGTCACCATCGTATTCTTCGCGTCCTACATCGTCTTCCAACCCCCGGCAACCGTCATCTGTCGTTATCTCGGACCTCGCAATTTCCTATCGGCTATCGTTGTGCTGTGGGGCGGTGTCATGATTGGCATGGGCTTTGCCGATAGTTACGGTACCATGTCCGCGCTACGAGTCCTCCTGGGAATCCTCGAGGCTGGCTTTTTCCCGAGCTGTGTCTACTTGCTGTCCACCTGGTGTAAGCGCATGTCGGCCCTTGGATCGCCGCAATTTGCTAAGACCTCTCTCAGATACCCGGTTTGATATCGGAAAGCGATACTCATGCTTCTACATCCTTGGAAGTTTGGCATCTGCCTGCGCCGGTATCCTCGCTTACGGCTTGATGCAACTTAAGGGACAGCAGGGCCTGAATGGTTGGCGCTGTAAGTCATCGCCCGGTTACGCCTTGATGTGACTCTGCTGACGTTGCATCTTCCAATTAGGGATCTTCATCATCGAAGGCGCGCTCACATGCTTCCTTGGTATCGTCGGTTACTGGGCTCTGGTTGATTTCCCGGACAAGGCGCATAAGTCCTGGAACTTCCTGACTGAGCGTGAAGCCATGTTCATCATCGACCGCGTCAACAGGGATCGTGGTGATGCCAGGCCAGAGCCATGGTCCATGGCCAAGTTCTTCAAGGGTGGTGCTGACATCAAAATCTGGGGTTTCGCGATGGTAAGCCCCAATATTTCCAATGATCTCCCATTCGCTGACGGGTATAGATATTCTTCAACACCACCACAGTTACATACGCACTGGCGTACTTCCTGCCCATCATCCTAACATTGAACATGGGTTTCAGCACCGGCGCTGCCCAGTGTCTCGTTGCTCCTCCTTACGCTTTTGCTGCCATCGTCATGTACACCACCGGCTGGCTTGGAGACAAATACCACCTTCGCGGACCCATCATCCTGTTCAACATGGTTCTCTGCCTTGTCGGTCTGCCCATCATGGGTTTCCATTCCAACCCGAACGTCAGGTACTTTGGCGTCTTCTTGACCACCGCTGGCGCAAATAGCAACATTCCCGCGACGATGTCATATCAGGCGAACAACATCAGAGGCCAGTGGAAGCGCGCGTTCTGTTCTGCCATCTTGGTCGGCATGGGTGGTGTTGGTGGTATCGCTGGAGGTCTCGTCTTCAGGTATGTATCTGCAAACTGCATTCCATCGACCGTGCCATTCTAATGTCGAGTAGGGAACAAGACAAGCCCGGATACGAGCCAGGACTGTACGCCTGCATTGCGTGCTGCCTGCTCACAATCGTCATTGTCATCCTCATAACACTGAGATCCTGGAGCTTGAACAAGCGTGCGGATCGTGGTGAGCTCGAACTGGAGTACAATGATGTACGTCTTCTCAACCTTCTACTCATGTGACAAGATATTAACGTACGCACAGGATGGCGACCAGAAGGGCTTCAGGTATACTTACTAGAGCTGCACCAACCGGATCATCAAACCATTGATGGTTCTGTACGAATTCGAGATGCCACACCCGACGATCGTCTTCTTCACGCGGATTCTTCTCCGGCGTTAGAATGCGGCCCGATATTAATGAACTCATGCCCCATTGTTCACTGCCTTGGGTGATTGTTCTCGAAGACAGATATGTGCAACATGAACGTGAAAAGATCTTGGACCGGGTAGCTGTACACGTCGTGCGTGCACAACCAGGCTGCTGTTATATGGTGTTTTGCCAGCCTCGGGATCAGTAATCATGTTCTTGTTGGTCTGCTTCCACTCAAGCACGGGTCACCCGCTCTTGTAAACGCGACTTTATGCGCTGCCGGAACTAACGTCATAAAGCGTTGGATGGCGGAATGTGCGCACGCGCTTCTTATCTAGCACATCTACGTGTGTTGGTGGCACAATTTTCGCGTCTTGGCACGTGCACGCCTGTCAGATTTCAATTTGGAATCCAGGGTCTTACTGGACGCTGAACACGTCAAAGCCCACAACTCGCATTCAATCGAGCATACAGGCTAAGTGGTGTTGAGCTCGCTCGCTATAGCCGGCTCCACCTCCTAGGGACAGCTCACAGTCTTCCAGAGTCCTCCTTCGAGCTGTATAAAACATTCACTATTGCTGCCACCGAAATCGCCGCTCACAAACACTTTGCGCATGTTTAGCAGGGGCCACAAGATCTCGTAAAGGGCGAAACGAACCTACTAATACAGCAGCATACGCAGCAGTGGCAGCGAAGACTTCTGCTCGTCCTGCGTTCGTGCAAAGCCTTACACTTAGTGCAAATAGCACTGTGTATACGGCTAAGAGCCCCAGCTTTGCGTTTGGGTTGCTCAGAAAGTAGAGACTGACGATCGCGCCGACTAGCAAAACTGCAGCGAGCACCATGCTTATCGCAGCCACAATCTGTGCGACGAGTGTGTCATTATATCTGTTTGATCTGTCTAGTTCCTCGCGTGGTGAATGTTTGGTGAAGAGCCAGTGGTTCCTCAGCGAACGAGACAGGTAATCTTGGTTGGACGGCTTCTGAAGAGCCACCAGGTCTTGTGTTTCTTCCAGAAACTTGCTCGTGCGACCAAATATCAGCTTCTTCGAGGAGACCGGCATATTTCGAATCGCGGTTCCGTTAAGATAGTCCGTATAGGTGGTCAGGATTCGTTGACTGGGTTTACCGAGTTGGGCGACTTGAGCGCGCAAGGTCAGCGCTTCGTCTGGCCAATGAATCAGCATGAAGCCCAAGATGTGATGAAGAGACCAACAGTATTCTTTCAATAACCCCTGCAATCCTTTGAGCTTTACTTGAAGCTGCAATTCGAGGCTGTTAGAACTGGGTATCGCCCGTTCGCACATAACTTCCCACCGCTGAAGCGACCGGCGGGTGTCCAGATCGGCTGACTGCCTGATCTCAGATTCTAGACCTTCGATCTCATCTTCAAGTGTCACCATCTGGCATTGCAGCGACAATATGTTGCGCGCTGCAAGTACTCCAAATTTGCGAAAACACAAGCGGCTCATCGTCAGGATCTCAAGCGATCCATTTGGCTAGCGATGGATAGCCATTTCTGACGTCGGCGAGATCGATGACAAGAGGCGAAGTAGATGGGGTCATGACGTTGTGGCTATGCTTGTGCCTTGACCGGTTTGGTTCGATATCATGTGCTGTACCCAGGTGACGATGAATTGTTCGCAAAGCAGTGATGTATTAAGGCGGAGCAGATAGGCCAGACCAAGCGATCCTTATCTACCGAGGTAATTGTAAGTAATTCGACAGATATGTCGGGGAGCAAGCTGAAGCTCGGATGAGCTCAGCCCATGCATTTCTGGTGCCGGTCACACAAACGTGGCGAAGTTCATGCACCTTGACTGCGGTCAAGTTTGAGGGGCGGCTGAGGCCGCCCCTCCACATAAATTCTGCGTGTCCTTATCTCTCCACATCGAACGGCACACGAATCTACCCACGACCAGATTTGCAATAAAAGCACCTGAGCGGAGTTTAATCACCCACCGAAACATTCAGAAGCTTTCACTATCACCCCAACCAAAACTACAATATCGAACCGGGGTGACACAAAACCAAGCATTACTTTGAGCTAAATCACCAACATTCCACTGTGGTTTCTCACGTACGTGAGTCGTCCCCGCGCTCGGGAGCTTCAACAGCAGCTGACCAGGTTTAGATCAAGTACCAGAAACGTCACCATGAGCCTCAACATCTCCCGTCGCAAGGTCGACTTTTTGATCAATATGGATTCACCCGAAAACGGAAAGTTCTGCGAGATGACACGTCGTAGCTGCGAAGACGACCGAATTGATACCCTGCCTCTTCGAGACCGACGTGCCGCCCGTGAGGTAGAGACGAGGCGGCGTGCGCAATGGGACGGGGAACAGGCTTTGGGACAGGCTAGTCCGGGGATGGCGCTGTTAGTTCGGTAGCAGAGATGCATCGTTAGGTACTCACCTACCAAGGGTATAATCACGCCCTTGATGCCAGAAGGACGGAGTTATGGGTCCGGAAGGCTCATGATTAACGGGAAAGACAACATCAGAATGGGAGCCTTGGAAAGCATGTACAGGAGCGGGCGACAGTGTTCTACACAAAGCACGTTCTGCGGCTTGGAATCTAGTATTATATACACTTGAAAGGAAATTTAGTGGTATTCAGCGAAAGATCAAAATGTCAAAATGTGTGACAACGCCTGCCCAGTGCCAACGGCATAGCAAAAGGCTGGAAATGCGACGCCTTCACCACCCAAACTCCGTCCGTCGCTATGCAAACGCTCTGAAGAAAAGTGAAGAGAAACACTAGATCGAGAACAAACAGCCTACAGCAGAGATGGCCTGCTACTTGACTTCATACTCGTGTTAACGAAGGCTGGTCGCTAGTAAGATTTGTATTTCTGCACAAATGTTAGTCCTGTTCACATCACTAGTATAGTAGCACCACTTACATCTTCAATCTTACGCCTCGATTCGGGATCAAGCGCATTGCCTGCGCCTAGTAACGCATTGCTCACCGCTTTCGTAAAACCAACTGCAGGTCGCAAGACGACAGTCGGTCCATGTCTACGGAAGGCCCTTGCGACACCCGTGCCGCTACCCTCTTCCATGACCGATGCAGGAATCGCGATTACTGCGTCACGAGCAGTGTTCCAGTCCCGTTCGAAGTGCCGGACCGCGCTGCGAAGACCAGCGCCCACACCGATCGGCTGATTGGCGTAGTTCGATGCGGCGCGTGGCTCTTCTGTGTCGGAATTAGGATCTTCGCCATCCCAGTCGAGGGATTGATGGCGGCTCGATGAGGCAGTCTGTGGGTTCAAGAACTCCTCAGTGCCTTCCAGCACAATTTGCGCGCCGATCGCCACCTTCGCACCCAGACGTGCCGCCTCTGACGTTGTGTGCATAGCGAATGCGTGTACACCCTTCCCCAGACTGCGCACAATTCGACCGTCTTTCTTGTACTCGCGCATTGGAACAACGACGAGGTCTTTGAGGCCGGAACCGACATTCACAAAAGGTCGCAGGCCTGCCAGCCCCGATAGTACGCCTGGTAACTGATTGTTCTTGACATCCGGTGACCACACGTCATTGAGAGTCTTGTGAAGTTTGTCGAACGATGTAATTCCGTACAGAATCGCGTGGCGTAAGGTAATGTCCGAGCCGTCGAGGACGAGAAAATTCATGAACTCCGTTGTGTGGCCGGACCGGAGGCCGCGATAGTCCACGCGCTTTGGCTTGTAGTCCAACTTCAGCTTAACCGCCATCACTTCCAACCGCTGAATGAAAGGCTGGTCACCAGCTGGGCTGCTAGCGGGTGCGGAATCATCTTTGAACTCAAAGAAACGCGTGATAAAGTCCAAAGCGTCCTGATCGATATGCAAGCGGAGTGGAAGGATAGACACCTGACGATCAAATTAGCAAGAGCTGGGATGTTCAACATGCATCAAGACTTACTTTAATGACGAGCTCCGAAGCCGCTAGATCAGTGATCGGCTTGACCGTATTGAGTTCAAGATTTATCATCGGACGAATGAGCTCTCTCTTCGCTGGATCGATTGCGCACGTGACAAATTTCTTCCAGGTAGAGCTGGGCATGTGATCGAAAACCTCTAGATCTCGTACGCGGACATTGACGGAATTGACCGTCTCGCCTGTATCCGGCGGAAAGACGACAAGATCAACTGCGACCCCGCTGAGGGAGAATGCAATCTTTTTGTGTTTACTACGCTCGAGCTTGAGACGACGCCTAGATTTGGTAGTACTTCGAGGCCGTAGAGTAGCTCCAGTCGAGCGTGTCGCTGTTGACGTCGCGTAACTGCCCGTCTCGCTGGCAAGATCGTCAATATCATGGTTGATACGTCGGGCTAGAGCTCCTTTCTCGTCCTTCACATCCACACCAATCCAAACCGAGTTGAAGAGGAAGTCTTGCTCAACGAAGTCATCGTCGTCATCCTCTTCTCGTCCCTTATGCCGTCGCTCCTCGGCGCGAGCCTCAACGTCATCCACAGCTTTGCTGATAACGCTGCGTGTTCGAGGCCAGTCATAGCCGTCGTATAAGTTCCAGATTACGTTGACGTCGCGGACCCGTACCTTTAGTGGAGCGCCTGTGACCTTGAACTCATTGGATGGATGATATTGGTTCTTGGCAGAATCCCATTTACGGGCTTTACCCTTTGGTTCAATATTTGACTCTCCGAAGTAGTCGTCGTCAAAATCAAACGCTTCTTCTCCTCGAGTGACTTCGTGCTTCTCCTGGAAGCTCTCAAGGAGAGCTCGATCGCCACGTTGGCGAGTTACAGGCGGTGTGGCCAAAGCGCTGAGATCTTCTTCACCCAATAGACTGTCGCCCATTTCTTCTTCAGTCAGCAGGGGTTGTGAATTGTAGAGTCCACCAACGAAGGTAGGATCCCTTGGCAGATCATCCTCGATCAAGTCAGCATTGCTCATGAAGTCATCGGCTTCTTCATCTTGCAACAATCCATCGCCAGTGAATGACTCCATCATGTGCTGTAGCGGTACCATACGATACTGTTCTGCGGTTGATGGTGGCGTTGGGGGCTGTAGACCGCTCAGAATTGTCATGAGCGTCTGTGTAGAATCTGCGCATGACTCAATAACAAACAGCTCATTTTTGAACTCCACGTCTACTAGCTGGGGGTGTTCCTGTCCATCACCTCCAATGTTGACAAATATCTTTGCGGCCGAAATCGAACTTAGAGACACATAGCCCAAGGATTTCAGTCCATATAAATGGCCGTTGGCAGTGGGTGTGGTCGAGACAGGCCCGTGTTCTTCTTCTAGGCGCGCTATGTCATCTATAGCATGTATCGAAGCCTTGCGGAGGTTCACCGTGACAGAGTAGTCGTTTTTTGCTTGCTTACCCGTAACATGCGCTTCCGTGAGGACGAAAAGACCCTTCGAGAGTGATTTTCGAGGATTGAGACCAATTGCGCAATCCCTCAGCAGAAGATCGACCTGAAGCGGCTGAGCGACGGCTGTGACTGGCGAACTCGCTTGGGAAGACTGTCGGCTGATAGTCTTAGGAGAGGATGCGCCTGTGACAGTTGCGACGCTTGAGGCTAGGCCTATAGCCAGATCGTCTACCGTGCCATCCTCAGCAATCCCCAGCGCTGCCATTATCGTGCTGACTCGGTATTCAACGCATAGATTGAACAACTTGACTTTCACCATGGGTTCCATCTCGTCGCCCACCATCCTCAACATGATGACGGGTAGTTGTTCCAACGGGCGTAGCTCCACAACTTCTTGAACCAATACTTCGTCGTTGCGCCGGACAGTCGCTTTGCCAACTTCAACAGCAAGCAAAGCAGGAACTCCGACGTGTGCTAATGCGGATTCCTGCAGGATGACTGAGACATCTCCAAGTTTCTCATTTACAGTGACGCGAGCATCCAGCCGTTTCACCGATGCGAGGCTTAGAAGGCCAGGTCGATCATCATCTGGCAAGTATTTGGTGACCTTGGACAATCGCGCCAGCTCTATCCCTAGAGCTTCTAGCGCTTTCATGTGTTCAAGATCTGAGACATGAACACCGATTTCAGCGATTTCAACTCGAAGTACGGAGCCTTTTTGTCGCTGACGTAGCAGGGTTTCGATGAGAATGTCGTCGTTATTCTCGTACGGGTTCTTTGATGGCGTGATCAAGGATATTAGCCTAGTCAGATCCTGCTCGCCAGGGGCGAAGAGAAAGTTGATTTCAGTGCCTTTCAATTCTCCAACGAAAGGTGCAGTCTTGGGGGCGACCTCGGTGTAAGGGCCAGTCAGCTGTGTCTCGGAAACTTTGAGGCGCACATTGCTTTGCCGCACAGCAATGCGCACCGTCGTCGTGTGAAGTTGCATGGAACATGACTTCCCCCTGAGGGCCAAAGATACCTCACCGAGTTTTACGTCGATCTTCGGAGACTTCGTGGGTGGTGATTCTTTGACAGGGGGAGGTAGACCATCACCAAAATGTACACCGCGAGGCCGAGAACGGGCTGGACATATGACAGGACTTGCGACTGCGCTACTAGAGTTGATGGAGTTGCTCAACTCTAATACGCCGCTGAACCCACCAAAGGAGCCCAACGCGTCGTCCAGTTTCTGGATGTCAAACAAAATGTTGAGGGGACGGGTGACGATGGTGATACGATCGTCTTGCCCCTGCTCGTACTTCAGTTCTATATCGTGATTGGGTTGTTCTAGCGGGACATTGGCCGACCGTCTGGATTTCGGCCGTGAGCTGTGGAAGGAAATGATGTCTTGATCCAAAGATGCTAATGTGAACTTGCCAATATGAAGTTGAGTTCGCAAAATACCGGAAGGCTTGCCACTGGTGAGGTGCATAGCCGAGAAATTGGCTCTCAATATTGCATCCGAAGGTTGAAGTTCCAGTTGGTGCCCTGAAAGCGGCCCTTCCTGCGTAGATTCCGCCAACACGTGCTCCAGCCACGATAGAGCAATGCTCTGCACGGAAACTTCAAGACTCATGGGAGATGATTCCAAAGTTTCCGTGGACTTCGATTTCACAGTTCCTTCGCTTGAGGACAGTTCCCCGGTGAGAGCTTGTGTTGCCCTAGCAAACATAGCGGCCATGATGCGGCCAGTGGAAATGTCCATATGACCGACTATGGAGCCGACATCGACAATAATCGAAGCCACGCCTGTTGTCGTGGGCTGCGCTGGAGGCCGAGATGTTTGTGGGGATGCGGGGGTAGGTCGTCCGCGAGACAACGCTTCCAGGGAGGGCTTTCGACGATGTGAAGAAGAATGTGCATAATTGGAGAACGATCCTGGCATCTCCGTGAAAATAGAATCTTCACCCAAATTGGAAGGACTAAACTCCATGCTTGCCGCATCATCGACTTGCTCACTTGTTGCATCATTATGCTCTTTATCACCGAGGGCCATGGGGAACCACACAGTAATCTCATCTATGGTGAGAAACCGTTTGGCATGTTTTCGCGGACCGGGCGCGTCAGGCGTAGGGGTTTGTCTAAGTTCGGGTCTTGGCGGCAAGACCGAGCTCTGGCGGCTTCCCGGACGTGGAGTCTCGCATCCATCGTCTGCTTCTGGCAATGGCGCTAAAATGCTACCGGAGATCATATCCTCTGGTATCGGTTCCGACCTATCGGAACTAGATTCTTTACTTGAGTCTGACGAAGAGTCCCAGCCTCCGGGAACATGCCCAGCATGAGCGGAACTAGCCTGCGTCGCACTCACTGCACTCATGTACATACTTTCAGCCTCATCGTGCGTGAAAAACCGTGACTGGGCCATGTCTTCATCTGGTGAAGGCGACGAATCAAGGTGCTGGTGCACGTCGTCGGAAAGCTCCTGAGTATCATCCGTTGTTCGCTCATGTGCTGCAGCCAAATTGTCAGTACTGATGTGGGGTGCCTGGTTATGGCCCGATTGAGACGATGAGTCGATCACATTCGGGACTGGAAAGGAGCGACCCAGAGCAGACACAGTAGGCAAGTCTGACACGGATGCATCGCTAGCGGCTTCGGAGATGTGAGTATGTCGGCTTGAAGTTGCACCGTTTAGCCCCCACGCCGCCGCTTCCGAGGACTGTTCCATCGCCGGTTGCTCCTCAAGTTGTGAATTGAGCATGTCATTCTGCATCGCGAAGTTGAGCAAGCCCTCGTCGTCATACGATAAACTACCCTCGCCAAGATCAGGGAAATCATGATCTTGCTGAAACTGGCCGAGTGAAGGCTGCAGTTGTTGACCATACACGCCGTCATCGGAAGTAGCGTCTGCAAAACGATCATCGTCTGTTGTTTGCGGCGACAGCGCTAGCTGTGCTTGGTCCGGGGATAAAGAACGCTTGGGTGAGGCAGCTTCTCCGTGAGAGATGGCACTTTGGACTTCTGTTGGCAAAACGATCTGGCTGGATGACGCCTCTTGATCGCTCCGGAATGTTGTCGAGCTTATCACTTCCTCTTGTATGGATTGCCTAGACTCAACAGGCTGGTCTTGAACTTGACTCGTCGCAGGTTCGCTGGTGGTTTCATGCCTGCTTGACGCCTGAGATCGCGAAGTAGGCGGAGATGACGTCGTCTGCGAGAGCTGCGATTGAGATACGAAATTTTTGACATCGGACACAAGGCGCCCGCAGATGTTTTCCACCCGCATCCTCCGCTTACCTAGCTTCGAGGTGGCGGGAGGCAACGTTGTAGACTCAGCCTCAATGCGAACATCTTTGGCAGTGGTCGAGTCAATCGCTATACGCTCGATGTGAAAGCTCAGAGAAGAAGGTGAGGTTTCGCTTGACTTTGACGAGTCCATGGCATCGTTAGGGAAGTGATCCTCCACATCTATATCGATGTTGTTGACAACTATGCTTAGACGATCTAAAGCGGTATTCAACATATTGCGAAGATATGTTGGGATCGTCAGAGGCGCTCCAATACCGGCAGAAGCCTCTTCGCCATCGTCACTCGATGCGACCGACTCGTGCATATACGTAGGTTGAGACTCGAGCTCATGCTGCAGCTCGCGAATTTCTTCCAGAGGCTCCGTCTTTATGAATGACTTGGCCAGCTCGTCTACGGTGGGCACGTAGTCGTCGTCATCGGTGTCATTGTCTGAACCATCCGTGTCCTGGTTGTTGGGGGCAGCGGAAGGCGAAGCGGCCGTTGAAGGTGGCGAGGATCGTTTCTGGGTGTGCTGTCGGCGAGTATTTGAAGAGGGAGCACCTTCGACATGCTCGGTCAACCGAGCTTCTACGCGTATGCCATGTACCTCTATCAATATCTGGGGGACGCCGAATTCGAGGACGAAGGTAACCTGGAGGAGCGAGGCTTGCGCTTTCAACAGCTGGATCTCGGGAGGGAGGGTGAGGTGTAATAGTGCTAGGAGTTTCTAGAACATGGTGTCAGTACTAGGCGCACAGTGATGGACATCTCCGGGACGTACCTTGACGTGCAACCCAACGTCCCGAACCTCGAGTGTAGTGCGCCACCCGACATCGACGCTCACGAAGTCGGCAGGGTCTTTGTCCAGTATGTCGATGTGGCGCAACCCGTAGAGGAGCATCTTCCGGCCGATGGAGCTCGAGAGCGTAGAGAAGAAAGCCATGGCGGTGGAGAGGCTGGCGACCGGGTTGGGGGACGCGCTGGTGGCAGGCTGGTCGAACGCCTATCGACGGGAGAGAAGAGGCTCCATGGATAGCGGAGCGTGCGGGTTGGTGGCGCGTATCACAACTGCGAAATGTGAAAGTCTTCGTATCAGTACGGCGATGCACAGTGGTGCCTGCCAAGTCTGGTTGCTTCACCAGCCGCGGATGTGAAGTATGGACGGTCCCGGATCTAGAAAAAGCAGGACTGTAGGGGCATCAGCAACGGGATTAGTGAGGGTGCCGGTCCGCGTGGCAACAAAAGACGTGGGTGATCACAGGGCGAGGTTCCGCCGTCTAGCGTCGAGGTTGCGGTGCTATGGAGCGCAGATGATGTGTTATGCCATCGCAGGCGACCGTGCAGCTGCCATCACCCGCTACCGCCCCGCGCATGCACCAACGCGCGCTAGGCAATCGATAAGCAAAGCCCCAACGCGTCAACAGCGCGTGCTGTGAATGGGACAATAGTGGCGATTGCGGTGCGGCTTAGACTTCACAGTCGGAGAGTGAAAGACACCATTCCCTGTGTTCCCGCGTGCCCTGCTGGTACATGTAATCTGTGCAGGCCTCCGTATCTCGCCGCTCTTGGCACGAGTTAGACCCTGTTACGTCAGCAGTCACTAGCTCCATTCAGGAAGGAACTCGCGGAAGTCACCGATAGGGCGTCTGACACTCTTGCAACATATTGTGAACAACATTTCCTTCACCAAACATTCCTTGTTCTGAGCCGCAGACACAGTCGCTATCATGACTACGAACGATGCTGCGAACGACGACGAGTGGGCGCAGGCCGAAGGTGTCCCGAACCTAAGCGACCCATTCATCCAACAGTACCTACAGGGCCGAGACGCTTTGGTTCAGCAAGAGAAGAGACAACGAAGCGGTTCGTGAACCAAAATGTTCGTCACTGTACAGCATGTGCAGTGGTCTAACCACCTCCAGACTATCTTTTCCGCCAGAATCTATCGCCCATGGCCCAGGAAGCATGCGCCATCGTCTCCCAGATTCGATTTGAGGAGCAGCAGACCCTCTGGACAAAGGAATACGAAGACAGCTTACTAACCGAACATGTCGATGTCTTTCCAGGCATGATGTTCTCACTTGCCAAGGAGCGCATGGAGAAGAGCAAGCTGTGGCAGATAGTCAAGCGAATGCCGAAAGGCGCACTCTTGCACTGTCACTTGGAAGCCATGGTGGACCTTGACTGGGCGCTTGAAGAAGCTTTCAACACTGAGGGTGTCTGCGTTATTGCTGATAGTCCCATCACCGACGACAAGACTAGGCGCAAAACCGGCTTCTCCTTCACCTACTCCAAGGACGCGAACGGTGACGCTTCAATATGGCACGACAGCTACACTGCGAACACACCGGTGCCTGTAAATCAAGCCGCGGATACCTTTCCAAATGGTGGCAAGAAGGCCTTCATCGAATGGATTCGCTCCCGCGTCACTATTACCCACTCAGAGCACCTCTCTCATCACGAAGGTCCCAACGAAGTATGGCGCAAGTTCATATCATGCTTTCCTATTCTCGGCTCCCTCATATACTACGAGCCCATCTTCCGCAAGTTCGTACGCAGGATGTGCAAGGCTCTAGTCGACGATGGCGTATACTACGTTGACTTGCGTGCAGCGTTCTATACGCCCTACCGCAGCAGCAAAAAAGAGATCTGGGACTCGGATCACTTCAGTTTGCTTGAGCATCTGGCGGACGAGATTGAGAAGTTTAAGGCGAGTGAGGACGGGAAAGAGTTTTGGGGCGCTAGGATGATCTGGACGACCATTAGACAGTTCGGAAAGAAGCAGGTGATTGAGAGTAAGTTGCTTGCCGCTCGCACACATCTCGTCCATTTTCAACGCGCCTGGGAGCGTTTGTATTACCATACTAACAATCGGCCAGGCATGAAGCAATGCATCGAGATGAAGATCGAATTCCCCGAGATTATCGCAGGCTACGACCTCGTGGGCCAGGAAGATCTCGGCCGCCCGCTCTCGGACCTTGCACCCGAGCTTTTCTGGTTTCGCAAGGCCTGCGCTCAAGAAGGAGTCGACATACCTTTCTTCTTCCATGCCGGTGAAACGCTTGGCGACGGCGACTCAACTGACGAGAATCTTTTTGACGCTATCATCTTGGGTACGCGACGGATAGGACATGGGTTCAGCCTTTACAAGCATCCCCTCCTCATCGACATGGTCAAGGAGAAGAGAATCCTAGTGGAGAGCTGCCCAGTATCCAATGAAGTGCTACGACTTTGCTCGAGCATCATGTCGCATCCTCTGCCAGCGCTGCTTGCCCGTGGAGTTCCTTGCTCGCTTTGCAACGATGATCCTACTATCCTTGGTCAAGGCGTATCTGGCATGTCGCATGACTTTTGGCAAGCGCTTCAAGGATGGGAGAATCTTGGTCTTGAAGGCTTGGGCTCATTGGCGGAGAACAGCGTGCGTTGGGCTAGTCTGGATGATTACAGTGCGAAAGAGTGGACCCAGGATGTCAAGGATGGAATGTTTGGGAAGGGAGTACGGGCGCAAAGATTGAAGGAGTGGGTGAGCAAGTGGGAGAAGTACTGTGCTTGGATCGTCGAAGAGTACGGTGTGGATGAGAACGTAGAGCCGGAAGAGTGAATCTCTACAAGGCATAGGAACTGCTTCGGTACGGTACATACAGGGTGGAATGAGATTCAACATCGTGTTTGGCAAGATGCATCACTCGAAAGACATGGCCATCCTCATTTCGAAGTTCATGAGTGCATTAAGGTAGCGAAATGAGCTGCCGATTGAACACGTTCAACATGAACCTAATCGCCCCTAGGACTCTCACTTCATTAGTCAAACAAACACCCGACCAGCCGTATGCCAAGCTGTCGTACGCTCCCTTCACCACCGTGAGCATCCCCATTCTCCCCTGATTCCTCGCTCCGAAATGAACGCAGGTGATAATCTCGACCGAGCGATCCGGGGGTAGCTCTAGATCCGTCGCTAAGGCTGCATACTTACTTGTAGGTTGTCGTACAATAATAAGATAACATAAATCCTACTAGCGCGAAAATTAAAAGTCTAAACACAATAATTTATATATAGTAACTTGTTAAAGCTTTAAAAGACATTCTTATATCTACTACTAAGTTTAGTAATTTAAAGCCTACACAAAAAAATACTTCTAGTACTTAATCTACTTTAAATAATTTAATATTATAATATCTAATAGCTTTTTTATAATTATAAGATATAAAACTTTTAAGAATAAATATTTCTTATACTAATTTAAAATAATAAGTAAAACTCTAAGTATATTTAGATAAAGCTTAGCTACTTTACTATTTAGCTTTACTAGTTAAGAATACTAGAGTATAGAAATATCTATAATACTAGCTACTAAAATAGCTTTTCTATAAGTATTAGACTATAATATACTTAGTAAAAATATCTATAAAGAAAATATACTATATTAGCTTAGAACTATATATATATCTAGTAATTTTAAATTATAATAACTATATTCTACTTTAAGTATTAAGCTAATATAATATAGAATATTAATCTAGTCTATATATATTTTTATAATACTAGCATTATTTATAAAGTAAAAAGATTTAGAAAATATATTTATAGTTACTATAAATAGTTAAGATTAGAAAGAAATTCTTTTAAGAATTAGTATTAAAATTCTTTTATAAAGTACTTTAGTATTAGAATAGCTCTATAGCTAGTCTAAATTTAGAAGCTTATTTTATTTTAAAAGTAGTAGCACTAATACTTTAAGCCTTAGTCTATTTATTTTTAAGAGTAGGTAAAACTTTAAGTTATATATTCTTTAGTATACTAGTAATAGATCTTACTTTTTTAAAACTAGCTTATTAGCTAAAAGATTATTAATAAGTTTACTAATAAAATAATAAAAAAGATAAAGAAAGTATTAGCTAAGTAGCTAGAATTTAGTAATAGTTTAGAATAGTTCTAATTATTTATTATATTATAGTAGCTAGAAATATAAAGAAACTTGATATTAGAAGAAAAGTAATATATTAATAGTATTTACGTAATAAGCTTACTTTAAAAATATTTTATAAAGTAGAAAAAAAAAAAAAATAATAGTCTTTCTAGATTTAAAAGATAGAGCTTAAAGTATATTTTTTTAAGAAATATTTAATTATATAATAGTATAATAATATAATTATATAATAGTATATTACTATATTAGACTTTAAAGTAGACTTAGCTCTCTAGAGGTTTTAGAGATAGAGCCTACTACATTATATCTTATAATTTTATATTATATTATAAATAAAAAAAAAATAGACTTTTTAGCTATTAAAACTAAGTCTAATAAACCTTTTCTAATTCTATATAAAGCTTTTAAAAAGTAATAAAATATATATATAACTTTTAAATATTCTTTAAGAAATATATAAAACGCGTAGATACTCTACTCTATATTTTTTTCTATAGTTTCTAGGTTAAACTCTAGCTTTTTATCTTTATACTTTTATATAAGATTTAAAAGTATTAAACTTTATAGCTTATTTTTAATTCTTAAAACTTTTAGAAAAATATATACTACTATTTACTATTACTTTATTAAATATACTAGTATAGAAATATAAATATACTATAGTTAATTAATATAGTATATAATTATAATATAAGTATATTTTCTAAATACTTTATTTTATAGTATAGGTCTTAGAAACTAAAATAAAGCTATAAAGTTTAATACTTCTAAGTCTTATATATCTATAAAAAAAGAATAAAAAAGTATTTATATATTTTATTACTCTACTTATAGAGCTCTTAAGATTATAATCTTAGAATAAAAGTATAAGCGCTAGTTAGCCTAATTAGAAATATATATAATTAGCTAACTTACTTATAGTAATTATAAAGGTTAGCGTTTTAGTATAGTAGTGCGTTATTCTAGCGCTACTATAGTAGGTTAATATAATACTTACGTTAGACTACTACTCTAA